ATAACAGTGTAGAACCTGTGAGTGGACTACTTAAATAGGTAACCAAAAGTTGTATATGTAACTAGTTGCACCCTTACCTTGTACAAGTATATATAATGCATTAACTAAAAACACAAATAAAGACAATAATCGACACAAACATCGGCTTTAATAAATAAATAAAAATAAAAAAAATAATAAATCCGATCAAATGATTTGGTTGATTATACATGTAACATGAGAATTTTTATTGTTTCCTTTTTATGTTGCACCTGATCTGGCAATTTTATTGGACAGACTGGTTTGGTGTAGTAGTATAATGTCTTACACTACACTTCGGGCAATTAATGTCTCCGGCCGTAGATCCAAAATTCTGTTTCGTATACATATTGCCGAAAAAAAATCAGGACACGTCATGCCACAATTTTGCAATTCATAAAATTTTACAATCACTGACAAATAATCAATTTTAATTTAGTAATCACACTATATTATATATGAGTGTCGCTAAATATAAATCATATTTAAATTTTCGGATTTCCTTTTAAGCGACACTCATATTATTGGCTCAAATTAACTAATCACAAAATTGCCAATATGGTTTAACCCTAACATTAACCCTAAAGTCTTAAGTCTGCGTATGCATATGCGAATTAATAGTTATTGCAAGAGATGAGATATAAACTGCTACTATTTATGTCGTAAATACCTACGACATAAGTTTTCAATAGTTATGCATCTCTAGTTATAAACGTGTGTTTTTTTTTAGATTCATGTGATTCAGGCATCAATCTTCTACATAAAAATATGTCAAAGTAATCAAGTATTCACTGTATTACAACAATAAATTTTTTCAACCATTTTCAATGTGTATTCAGCATAATATATTAGCCAACTTGATCGAGCAATAATTTCCGGAGCAGAGCGGAGGAACTTAAGTCCAGACAATAGCTAAGAAAAATTCCGTGTGGGTGAACTCCAGCAAAATTATATGCAAATTTTAATCAGCATGTCATCAGTTAACTTTTAGCAGTATATAACATATTTAACGTTTTTAGCAGATATAACATATTCTTTTTTCCAAATTGATATATACAATTTATTACATAATTAACTTTATATTTCTATGGTTTAGAAAAATAAAATTTCATCAGCATTCAAATATTAGGTAGTTTATCGTTTTTAGCAATGATAATTCAACGGAATCCAGTATTATGTATTTTGTCGCTTTAGTAATGATAAAAAAAAAAAAAAGAATTAACCAGTAACACAATAGCATGATTATTAATGAATAAGTCAAATTTTATGTATTAAGCCATTATACATTATGAATTTGGGATTTATATCAAGATAATATAATATATTAGAAGCTCATAGAGATGTTGATCGATTCAACCAATTACATCATATTAACTTTATTCATATTATTACATCACATTAACCCACAGCACTAAATCACCTCTAACAACTGATTTTACAAAAGTTAAAATTTTTATGATTTAATTGGACATTTAGATGTGTGTAAAAGCTATGTATTTACACTAAAAAATTAAAACATCTTTAAATTAACAGATCCAATGTGACTTTAAAAGTCTTTTTGCATAATACGACGCGGCGCTCCGGAACCTAACGAATCCCGTTTTCCTACTAATATTAAGTTTAAGATTTGAGGCGCGTATTTTTTTTACTTGACTTAGATCAAAGAAAAGAAAAACAAGATTTTCTTGAATAAATCCTTAAATTTAACATTATCTTTAACGTTAAATTGAGCCACTTTCTTAAGGAATTTGTAATGGTACGAGTCTTATCTGTGAGAGCAAATTGGTACATCAGGAAATTTGTAAATAAGGTGGATATCGATTACCAATGATTGCCATCTATTAGGAAAATCGATATTGGTGCACAATTGATTAAAAAATAATCTTGTCAATCGATATCGCTGGTAATCGACAGGGGTGCTGCTTATTGATTGACATTTCAATCTGTCAATCGATTGCCAGCCAATTTATAATTCCTGATATACTGATTAAAGCCCATAATGCTTAGAACCTTTGAATTATAAATTAAATAATTTAATAAAAATATAAAATTTCATGCCTCTTAATAAAAGTTTTACGCCAATTACTATGTCATGTTTCTGGCGAACCGCCTTAAACATTGGTTCATTATTTTTATTGTTCTTACCCTATGACACTGATATGATCTCGATATGGAACCTTTGCTTTGAAAATCACCATCCAACGTTTTTCGATAGGGATAATTCAGACAAAAGTACACCCAAATACCAATTCATCTTTATATTTATCTTTACTGATTCAATAGTCCATCAAATGAACTATTGAATTAATAAAGGTAAACATGATTTACATATAAACATGAATCGGTATTTGGGTTTATTTTTGTCCGCATTATATTTTCAAGGCAAAAACCCTATATATTTATGAAAAAGTAGCCATTTTTTGTCAAAGTCATCAAAAACGTAATCTTTGCATCACCTTCACCAATAGTGATGAAATTATTTCGCCACCCTGGTTTAATTTCACTCGTATATTTTAACGTTCTGGACAAGATTCAGACAAATTTATTTTATGAAAATTCATTGGTTAAATTCACTACGACACATTTGCGAAATTCAGGTATTATATTATTATTATTGTGCTATATAAATTACAAATCACATGAACAACTTCAAACACATTTAACTATAAGAAACGTCAGGTTAATACATACATTTCGAAAAGGCCGTAATGATGATATCAGGATGTTAATTACTGTAGAAAATTGCACGGTTGATGCGTTAAACATGGCTATCGTTTCCTCAACAACTACTTCCCGACAGTTAAAGCTACACAAATTAGAGTTAGGAAGGATTGTAAATACAATTTTCAAAGGGGCCCAAATAAAATCTTAGTGGGCAAGATTATCCAGCTATTAAAGCCAATTAGTTACACACGATATTTAATATTGTTTGTGAACAAGTTTTCTTGGTGGCAGGTTATACAACTCATACACGAAATCTCAATAATGTTTTTCAGAAATTGTCTTCGTGTAAAAGTAGTTTAGTGATGGATAAGAAAGTTAATGGAATGCAGCCTACTTGCTTGTTTTTAAAAAAGAAAAATGACACGATAAACATAAAACAAAAAATAAGTTGTGTCGTCCAAACCATTACCATAAAAGTACAAATGTTTACGCAGATTGATACTCTCAGTAGTACACAAGAAGTCCGTATTGTTTTCAACTCAAGCATATACTAAAAAGGATATGCTAAAAAAAGAGACAACAATAACGATGGCCTTAGATAAATTTTGGTTAGACAAGTTACCATAACACTTAATATTGCAAGAACAGGGTATCCAATAGTTAAACGCCAAAAATTTTGATTTTAGGTGAATTTAAAAGATGTTAAACATGTAAATGTTTGACTGATTTATAATACATATATTCTGCAATTAAAATTTTTTCTGACGCGTAGCCGTGTTGTTTATCTTTCGCGATGTTTCCTAGTCATCAACAGCTGAATTACATAAGTATTTCCTCTTATACCTAAAGGTATGTACTTCTGTTTACATCTGAGAAAAAGCTTTATCTTATTAAACGACTAATATGAATGATAATAACTGACCTCATATTATGTAATAAAATAATTTTTTGTTAGTTAGTACGACTTGTAATGTATGTTTTCAAATGATCGGATCTACTTTTTATTATGTTTTTAATAGATCTGGCCTGCATTTTTGAAAATTTTCAAATTTGGCCCGGACACACTTGTAAGATAAATTTTCTAAAAAATTTATATATTGAAATTCAATGTTTTCCTTAACTTTCAACAAATCTACAATAACTATTCATGTGAAAGAGATGTTTAAGCAAGCAGTCACATTGTTTTGTATTTAAATTATAAATTCTCTTGAAATGTACGATAAGATAGTGTAAGCTACTTGTTCATTGTGGTATCTTTTTGTGTAATGTTTGTTACCAGTTTTTTTTTTTACGAACTATCGATTATCGTTATCGTTATATTGGTATATCTATTATATCTATTTTATTATCTATTTTATTATCTATTTTTTATTATCTATTTTATTATTTATTTTATTATCTATTTTATTATCGATTTTATTATCTATTTTATTATCTATTTTACTACTTATTTTAGCATGTATGCTAAATAAAATTAAATGTACTTGTGTCCGTGCGATAGGTGCACATAAATTCAGCAGGCTACATTCATTGGTACGTAATTCATTGGCAATATATCGACAAATGACTATTAAAAATTATGTATATATTTTTGTTTACAGTATAATATAAATGCTTTTTTTGACATTAATAATCTCATGAAAACTAAACTCGGAAAAAAACTTTCAAGGAAAATATGTGCTTGAAGTTGATGTCTGCTTTTTGATCTTATACGCATTAACAAAGCAAGGAACATGACATACCGATACACACGCATATATGCATATACGCATATACGCATATACGTATATACGCATATAGCCTCGTACGTACGTGGGATAAATAATTATTATGCTTTGCAAACAAGGTTTAACAAGTAAATAAAAAATAAATAAATAAATTGTTGAATGTGGCCTTAAAGGGTAAACTATCCCATATCTACTATAAATTAAATTAGCATTTCATAAATGTGCGTGAAAATCTTATCGTTTTACATAAATGATTACATAAATGCTTATTTTAAAATATTTATTGCTATATACGTATTACATATATTTGAAGACGACTACTAGCCGAAATTAGGAATTACGGTCCATTCTCATACTAGTGTTCAATCACAACAATAAAATGGTATGGCAGTTTTAAACATAAAAATGTTGCTTAAAAATCTTTAATCAAAAGAAAAAACCGTTCGACAAGACCTGAACGATTAAACAAACAAAAAGAAAAACGGGCCTTGAGAACGTATTCTTTTATTCAAATAAATATGACGATCGTTGTTTCATTCCTAAACCTGTGACAAATTTGATTATTGAACGAAATTGAACATTTTATACGTTATGTCTGAAACCCTTGCTTTAAACTTTATCTACGTTATTCTAAATTTATTAAGTTTGGCTTTATTAGGAAGATTAATAGCATTAATTTCACAATCGACAACTTATTTTCTTAAAAATACACTTCTTCAACTATGTATATGTGCTTTTTTCATTCACATAAGTTACCTTCCATCTACTTTATATTATGGAGACGTAATGGATGCTACAATGCGTAATCCTTTAACATTATGTATAGTTCAAGCAAAATTTACTACTTTTTTTTCTTATCCATTAGAAATATTGCCAATAGCTTTAACAATCAATTTATGGTTCGCCGTAGTGAAATACGATGTTAAAATTGAACAAAAATATTTTTGGTGGTTCACTGGATTTATTTGGGGGTGGACAATTTTTTATAATATCATAAGTTTAATATTTGAAAGCAAAGAAACAAATTCAAACGTTAGCGCCAATAAATTTTTTTGCGCACAATCTTTTAAATTAACATGGATTTGGTATTGCTATTCCGTATCAATGTTTATTCTAATCACTATCTCGTTAGTTATTACAGGTAAGTTAAAAATAATTCATATTGTACATTCGGTGCATACTATCTAATTATCCTGTTTATTATTTTACTAGTTCATTCTAGTGTTGTACTTTGGTCTCGTTGGCGAAATTTCACACAAAGGCAGAGTAGGAATACAGCTATTAAATTAGGACTAGCTGGTCGCTTAGTAGTTTTAAGTTTTATATATTTAATTTCATTAACAATATCAGTATTGTCAGCGTTAACGAAATATCTTAGTAAAAAATCTAGTGGATGGTCAATTAGCGCTGATTTTTCTAGTTGCTTGATGTAAGTTTATCTATTTATATTATCACGTATTAATGTAATGTTAACACAAATCTCACGAATCTATTTTTTTTTTTAAAAAAAAAAAAAAAGCGGAGTAATAATTTTTTTAATATTTGGAACAACAAAATCTGCTGCAATATTTTTACCATGTTGCTACTATGTACCTCCAAACAACCTAATTTCTCAACAATCAAGACCCTGTCAAAATGAAGTTAATCCTGCATTTCAACTTCAAAACTTAAGGTTAAATGGAAATCACTATCAACTTCCCTCCGGATCGATTAATAATTACCAACTAATGGATGATCCAGCTGACATGAATATGCCTGATAGTTCCGGTGGTGGTTCAAGTTTCTTAACAAATTCGAGTCAAAATATAGCGACTGAAGATCCTCCACCTTTGCCTAGGTCTCCACTACAATTACCTTCACCCACAATACCTCTACAAACGCGAGATAGTTTTAGAGTACATGAATTACAAAGAGATGGTTATTCAAATTCCGGTCAATTTTTTTATGATTGGTATAAAATTGAAGGCAATGAAGACAATGAAATTGTATAAATTATTAATTAGCCCATGCAAAATTAATTAATTGGTTTTCATAACCCGGCCGGGTCAAATTTTGAGAAATTGTAAAAAAAATGGTTTATATGTTTTAATAGCAAGTGGGTTTTTAAAGAAATTTTTAAAAAATTTCAAAAAATTTTTATATATGAAATTTCTTTAAAAAAGCGGCCGGTCGGCCGGGTCTGTTTAAAAGTTCATGTTATGAAAACCAAGATATTAAATTTGTGTGGCCTTAAAATAAAATCTGAAAGTGCCATTTAATTTTCATGAAAAGCATAATTCAAGATAGATATTAAAGAGATGGTCCATGGATGAGCCTTTAAATTAATTGACAAACTATAATAGAACAGTTACAAAAAAAATTAGATTTAAAAATTCTACTTTCTAGATTAAGTTAATCACGTAATTTAATTAACACATCATTGTTGAAACTTTATTGTCATATTTCATCCTATTCTGTGCCTTTTTAAAATTAAATAAAATTGTTATATACAAAAGAAAATATTTTTAATCATTTGATTGTTCTGTGCTTTGACTGTTGATAAGTCACTTCAATCCGGAAAAATGGTATGTCGAATGATACCCTTGCTAATATAATAATTATTATATTTTCGCGAAACAACGACTACAATCCTGAACTCCAGTGCGTTAATTCGAATACGTGCTTACATTTGGTTTTATTTCATCAAAATCTGATAAATAATTTGTGAAATAAGGAATATATATAACCATTTGGGTAATCCAGTTTGAGTCAATATTACTTATTTTATGGAATTCATAAAATAAAATAAAAAAGTTACTCGAAAATTTAAGATTTTTATAATTCTGAAAGGTTATTTGTTAGAAAAGACATTTTTACTATATAAATTCATTATACCAACCCTAACAACGTTACGGTTATTCGCATAAATTTTGAATATACTAAAAATTTGCTATTTCTCAAAATCTTTTCGATATCTTTTATGAATCATAAAGTTTGAAGATTTAGGCGATTTTTTAGAGATTTCAGGAATCAAGCAAATTTTTAACAAGATCTGTAGATTTTGTGATTTGCTGCGGTCTTAAGAATAGTATTTGTTGTAGTGGGATGGAATTTATTAGGATTTTGGGGTTAAAGTGTAGATTTATATAAAATGAATTCTATCCTAAAATTATAATTTTGTTTCCAAAATGAATGTGCACATACAAAGATATCTAATATATGCTAACAAAAAATATAAACCAAATTACGACCACCTCGAAATATTTAAATATAGGTCAGGCTAGAGTTTGCTTGCTTTCATTGCAACATCTGTTCTAAAAAGTGCGTATTTTTGAAAAAAAAAACACTATATAAGAGCCATTCAATCTACCACGGTTTCATTAAATGAGTGCTGCCAAGTGAAAACCTGTAATAGCGACTTTTGGATTTCTCACCTTTTTTTAAGCCCAGATCGTCATAGTAGGTCTTGTGATTAAAGAATATATCGAATGAACATAAATTGGTTAATGTTCAAGCTCTACAGAATAGACAGACCTATCATGACGATCTGGGCTGAGAAATCCAAAAGTCGCTACTACGGGTTTCACTTGGCAGCACTCAAATTATGTTACATTAATGGGTAAATACCGTTAAAGAGAAAAAAGAATAACCAAAGTATTTGTTTCTCCATGAATTAAAACCAAGTAACACTGTAATAAAAAAAGATTTTTAAATTGCAATACAATAGTTTGATTAAGGATGAATATTAAATATACGATTAAATTTTCAACACGAACGTTTAACCCATTGTATTTTGGAAAATTTTGTTGCAGCGCATATACAGTAAATTCCCTCATTTGTGCTATTTCTGTACTTTCGAATTTGGTTTTCTTTTATTCACCGTGTATGGACGAACACATACCCGCACTTTTTTTGAGTTACAAGTAAGTCGTAACACTGCATATTTATATATTTCTTTTGTCATGGGAATAAATATTGTTGGTTCATTATCTATTTCACTAAATCTTATCAGGAATAGGCCTTCAAAGCGGCATAACTTTAAATGGTGAGTCATTTTAGAAGAAATTTTCAGTATTATTTTTCCTTTATAATTATGCCGATTCCGGTTAGAAATGTTTAATTGTATTAAGAGGTTGCTAATTTATAGAGATGGTTTTTCTTAAAGTTTCTAAGTTAACTCTAATTCGGAAATTCTAATTTTGGACATTATTTTTCTTTATATGTTAAATCAACTAATAAAACTTTTCTAATTTAGTTCAAAAAAGCGTAGATCTTTAAAGAATACATTCCTATAATTCCTTCTTTTTACCGGGATTATCCGATTTTGTACGATGTTTAGAACCAATTCACATTTCTAAAAACATCCGCGAAGAATTCAGCTGACGAATTCATGTGTACGTCCTAGTTGATAGGTAAATATTTTGGTCAGATGTCAAGAATCCATTTCCACCAGTAATTCCAGTGAATTTCCGCAATATATGTTCCCGTTGGAGAACTGACCGTAATGAAAAGACAAAAATGTTGAGTATGAATAGATAAACACGTGCCAAGAGAGTAAAGATCCTAAATGTGTTACGTCATGTTTAGAGACTTATTGTTATAAATGGGTTGAATAAATAAATGTACGGTTAATATCATTCTTTTTCTCTCAACTTTCGAAAATTTTATACTTAAATTATTATAAAATAAGATGGCTCGTCAATGTTTACGTTCTGATCTTCAACAAAAAGTCGATGCATTTATTGCCAATTATCAACCACAAAATATCCACCCACCACCGCAACTCGATGCAAACATCAATTTAGGTTTATTATGCCGTCGTAATGGTCTTTTATTTTATCATAAAGGACGGAGACCTTTAAATGCATTCAACGTATTTAAATTAATTGTTAGGCAAGAAGCAGTCAGGATGTCTGAAGATGATTGGCTTGTAATTAATAACGTGGCTGAAAATTTATGGAAGAGGAGTAGTCCTCAAGAAAAATTGGCATATCGAACTTTTTCAAAGAATGTCAATGAAATATTATCACAACGGGTAATAAATGTTTACTTTTATTTTCAAGGTATTCTGGCTAGATTGAACGAAAAGCTCTAAATGCTACTAACTATTTTATGGTTAAAAAGGCCGGTTTTTTTCTTTCATAATGTATATACAAGGGTGTGACTATATTTCAATTTATTTTACTCTTGGACAATAAATTCGATAATTGTTTATTACTTATCTTTTTAGCATGAAGTGATCGTGTAGTTACCTTTAAACCAGATGGTAACAATTGCACGACGCTCTTGCGTAGAAACTAAAAGAACTATTAGTAATTAAATGTGCATGTTATTTTTTTGTTCTGAACTATTATCATTATATTCGGGCATGATGTATATATTTTTCCTTTATGCGGGATGCAATATAGGTATACTTGTATATATATATATTTCTTTAATTAAAGTTCTACGTAATTTTGTGACGAATTTGAAGTTTTGTCATCGTTATTGGATATTCTTTAAGGGTTAATTTTAATCTTACTTAACAAGACATTATCAGAATATATTACAAAATAAAGCACTTGGAATTTTTTAATTTAAAACTTTTATACTGTCAAATCGCTCTAAATGTAACTGGTATGTACCAAACTTTAACTACGTGCATTAGAGAAAATTACATTTCTGGAATTAAGTCTATATTTAAACTGCACGTTTAGAGAGGTTACATCTGATTATACAAATATATATATATATATATTTTAATTAGCTGTTAGGCAAAAATACTATTCCTGATGGATCGATCTTGATGGTATTAAAAAAACTTTTATTTAAGTACTGTTACTGATAGGGTTCTAAAATCGAATCTTAATCCTAACTTTTTTCATATACTTTCGCTATAGTAGTGTATTATGTTAGAGGTCCTTTTTTAGACCCCATCAGAAGCGGTATGTAAATCTTTTTATTTTTTCCTACCCTGTCAGGAACAGTACCGACGATTCATCGGGAACAGTATTTTTGCAGTTGCTAGAATTTACTTCAGAAAAATTTTAGGGAAAAGTATTTAGATTAGAATAGGCGTAGATTTAAATTATTATTCAATCAAACCTTATCAAATTTCATTACGTGGAAAACAACTATAGTAATAGGTCCCGTTCACTTCACTGACAATTACTTTCACCTCACCGACCACTTAGTTCACCGACAATTAATTCACAGACAAGTTCGGTTTATTCACCGATAGTCATTTCACGCATCGACAAAGTAATTTTGGTCATTGTCGTTAGGGTCAGGTTTAAAATCAGAGTTAAGGTTAATGGAATTCTTAAAACAACTTGAGTTAATTGTCAGCGAAATGATGCGGACCGTCTCATTGATTACATATCATAATAATATGTAGCATTTATATTCCAACACATAGACACTTTAAGCTTTGATAGCCTTGATATTTCTTACTCCTTAACTTATCGCATTTAAATTTGCGATTGATCTGGAGTTGCCATTTAAGATATCTAAAGTAGCACCTGACTGGAATTGCAATTCTTTAATGTGTGCAAGTTTGTGGCGCAGCAAAAATTCGGGAATGTTAGGGTCGGGATTAGGGTTGGGAATAAGAAGGGGGTAGTTTATATAGTAAATTACCCAACGAAAACTTTTTTATTAAAGCATTAAAGGTGATTTATTATGCTGATTTTTGAGAAGCAAAACGATGTTGGTTTTGAAAATCTGCGTCACAAACCTGGCATACATTCCAATTGCAAAAAATAGGTATTACATATAATACGTAACAGTATTACAAAAGGTTTGGTTATACTTTAAATTCATGTTCTCTAAATACAGGTTATATTAAATTCTCTTTAAAATGCAGGTTTAGCCTCAGTCCTAAGTACATAAAATTATAATAAACTTATATTCTCTAAATGCAGGTTCTTTTTAAATATAGAATTTTTTTATTTAAAAAACTTTTCTAAGTTTTGACAAGTTGCATTTAGAAAAATTAATTATCTAAAGATTATATATACGTATAACTTCTTAAGAAAAAAGCAATACCTAATGTTTAAATTTCATCTACAACAAAATTTAGAAAATTATATCTGTTATAGTAAACTGTCTTTTGACAATCAGTTGGATTAATGCATCTGTAATTTTAAATACACCAGCTTAAATAGGAGCTTAAGACATTTATGCAAAGTATAACATGATATATACATAGAGAAATGCTTACTAGGCTTGCAAAAAACTTTAATGCAAACTCATAATAAGTTTATCAAATATAGAAAACCAAAAAACTAAAAAACAAAATCTTATTTAAAAATCATTAAATAAAAAGATAGCATAAATTTTTAACAGTATTACTGAACTGATAGAAGTCTTAAAAGAAACAGACAAATAAACTAAATGACAAATATATATATAAAAGTATATAATCAATCAGACTATTAGAATTTACTAAAAAAAATAAATATTTAATTATATCAAAAGTCTGGTTATAAATTTACTAGGTCAACTAAATTGGTAATTTAAGAAGTCTTGTTAATTCAAAAAAAGATTTCAACAAAATAAGTATTAAGTCTTAGTAAAGTTTATAAAAATAATAAAACTAAATTAGTTATATATAAAACATAAAAAATTCTAGTACAGTAAGTTTTTTGTTAAAGATAAAATAGTTTTAATAATACTAATAAGTATTAAAACTTTGAATGAGATAACATAGAAGATATTTTGTAATACAAAATATATTGTATATACAGAAGATTTTAATAGACAAAACTTATAGTTGACTTGTAGGTATACTATTTAACATAGAATCTATATAGTATATATTAAAAATGCATATGTAATATTTTAAATAAGAAAGTTCTTAGAGATTTTTGTGCTTATATAAACTTAAATAAAATTATTTTTTAAAAACAAAAATTTTAATTATTAAAAAAAAGATAATATTAATATTTTTATTTTTTAATTTGATAATACTAATATTTTTTTTTATGTTAAAGTTCTTATCTTTAGATTACAACTTTTTTATTTAAGTTTGTAAAACATGGGTGTCTTCAAAGCTTTTCTTATATTGAAGATTACAACTAGCTACATGTGTACTTTTGGTATCTAATTTAAGTAGTCTGCCTATATATTACTATACAGATTTTACACTAAATGTCATATTTGCAAACCAGCTATAAGTCTTGCTTATTTAAATTTTTTATATATGCAATTCTCTTGTATTACAGAAATATCTTAAAGCACTGCTTATCTAAGTTTTTAATGCTCATCAGTACTCTTAAAATTATTTACTAAAGCCTACTATGTCTCATACACAACTAATCTAGTTTTATGCAATACATTATAGTTATTTAATATTTGTAATCACAAAGATTATTCATTTAACTGCATTATTATACTTATTTCTACTTTTGTAAAGTTTATTAGAACTTAGTACTTATTTTTCTAATATCTTTTCTATCATTTTCTAGTAGTTGCAACTAAGAACTAACAGACTTTTCAGATTTTTAATCCAGATTATTTAATATAGTATATCTTAGTATCCTTTTTCTTTAATGATTTTAGCAGCCTAGTTGGTAATATACTTTTTTAAATATTTTATTATCTAATTTATCTATTTATTTCTATAAAGATGTTTTATAAGCTTTAACTAGTATAATAGTAGGGTTAGGAATGGCTGGTTTGGCTTAGCTCAACTTAAAAAAGCTGTTAAAGCTAGCTCAAGCTAGCTCAAATTAGTTTAATTTGTTTTTATAATTAATATTTTAATTTTAATTTAAAGTTTTTAAATTAGTTTAAGTTTAATATATTAATATTATTATTTATAAATTGTATACAAAATTTTAACATAATATATTTTAATATTTTTTTATTAATTGATAATCTGTTAATTATTTAAAAAATAATTTTAATATAACATAATATAAATCTTCTATATTTTTTATTATAAACAAAAATGCAATATATTGTTATAGAACGATTTATTATTATTTTATTATTATTAGTTATTATTATTATTATTTTTTTTTTTTAAACTTTGGCAGCCTTGCCAGTCACCTTTATTAAGTAATTCTAAATACAAAATTATGTAAAAAGCTATCTTAATTATTGGCCTGACATCCTCCGGCTACTATTAAAGTGCTCAAAGGCGGCCTGCTGCACCAGTTGGAGATATACCCGGGTCTGAAGACTGTGCCAGACTAGCCAGAAAGGCCATACCAAAATGGCTTTAAGTTTTCTTTAACATAGTTGCCTACCAAGTTCCACCAGCTTTCTCTAGTTTTCTTTCTTTTTTCCTTCTCTTTTTCTTTTCTCTCTACTAGGCAACTTTCACCTATAAGCTTATTCGTCTCCATGCTCGAAGTCCGTATTTCTGTGTTCCTTCTTGAAATTCTCTTTACCCGTGCTGTAATTCCCTAGGCTTTTTTCCATGCAATTACTACCTCACATCGTCTTTTTCATATGTTTTTAAAAAATCTGTTCCATCCTGCATTCACTATACTTCTAGAAAGTCTTTGATCTCTGTAGTTGAGTTTGTCAAGTCTTGAAAGAATTCTCAGACCTTTTCCTGCAGCAAACCCTTTATGATTTTTATTCTACTTTCTATATTTTCTTTCCTCGAGATACCCCATATACAATTCTTTATATCTGTTTTACTTGTCTTCTTTTGTGTTTCTTCTGAGAGCGCAATCCAAGCCAGGTTGATCATTGTGTTCTCTGTTTCTCTCCAGCTCTTTTCATGGCCTTTGCAGCATGCCAGGTGTTCTTGATCTTCTTTAGTCTCTTTGTTGCATACTACACAAAATGGACTTTCATATATGTTAGGTCTTCTTTGTGCCAATGTCTTTAGTACTGGTAGCTTTTCATTGAGGCATTTAATTAGTGTTGCAGCTTCCCTGTTTCTCTTTAGACTTGAACATCTTACTCCATTATGACTTTTTATTTTCCTCCACAATGTGTTCTATTCTACTGTTGCTGTTTCTTTCTCTGGTTCTATTTTCTGTATTGGCGATGTGGCCCTCCATTCTGCACCTGTCTTGAGATTGAGGACTTCTTTTAAAAAACTTCTTGTTGGTGATTCTACTGTCTCTTCTTTCCAGCATAGAGACACACTTGAGC